TGATGATCTCAGAGAGTTTTATTCGCAGTGGGGAGAAATCACAGATGTTGTGGTGATGAGAGATCCGGTAACGAAGCGTTCTCGAGGTTTCGGATTCGTCACCTTCGCTGAACCTGATATGGTAAATGCTGCCATGTCCGCTCGTCCGCATGTTATCGACGGTAAGGAGGTGGAACCGAAGCGGGCGATGCCAAAGGACGTAAGTTTGTTTTCGTAGTTTTACATGCAGCTATAAACGTTATTTGCAAGTTTTGGCTAAAATAAGTTTTTGAATCTATATGACCTGCATGACAAGGTTTCAGTGTTTCATTGTTCGTTCGTTTAATTTAATTATCACAGTTCATGGTTTATTTCTTTCTCTATTCACTTCATTTTCTAAATGAAATTTCGCAATATAAAGGAAATTCTTGAGTTTAAACTGAAAAATTGGCATTGACGTTAAGGGGAAAAAGCAATTTTGACCGAGACACAATTCTCATTTCCTTCCTTGCTTTCGAGTATGTCAATCGATGCATTTATGCCACAAACAAAATGCCTCTTGTAAAAAGTCTTGAATATTGTGTCGATCTGCTCCTGTGTCAAACATGTCATCTGCACAACTTCTGGCTAAAACTATAGAATGAGCATTTGTAGACTCGTCCTTCACAAGCAGAAGTCGTTAATTCGGGTTGCTGAACTTCATTGTTTTCTCCCTGGATTGAGATTACTTGCGTAGTCAACGGAATAACTATCTTAAACCGATTCGGAGCATTTTTGTTGAATTTTAATAGTCACAGATCCCCGTTGAAAAATCTTCTGATTTTGATTTTCTTGCATGCCTTTGAGGTTTGTAGTGCTACAATATTTGTACTACAGTTGCGCTATAGTTCAAATCCTGTTAAACTAAAGTAAACACTACTCTCAGCGCATTGAAGTTCAGTCGCTTAAGCATTGAATTTTTACTGGATATGAAATCGCTGTAACAGCTCGTGAATGTATGCTACGAAAGAGTTTGAACAGTTCAAGCTGGAGTTTTATGACCATATCAGTGAAGTGCATTGGTGTCGTAATACTCACACTAGAGCGGATACCATTCTGGTGTTGTAGCAAGAACAGAACCGGGACTTTTCATGTGTGAGGCATTAGAGAGCATTGATAGCTTTACGAGCCATTATTTGGTTTTTCCATAGCTTTTTTACAAATATTCTACGACTGAACGTTATTAAGATGCATTACTTAAATGTTCACTTAGGCATTTGAAAGCAATGCCAAACATTATAGGTTATGAACAAGCCAGAAGCACACCTGTCGGTCAAAAAAGTGTACGTAAGTGGCATAAAAGATGATCACACTGAGGAAATGCTTCGAGACTATTTTTCCTCGTTCGGTACTATACTGGAAATCGATATCAAAGTGGATCAAGTCTCAGGGAAAAAGCGTGGATTTGCCTTTGTTACATTCGATGATTATGACCCAGTGGACCGAGTTGTGTGTAAGTTATTTCACTTGGATATATAATTTACATCGTAGAAGGCGAGGTTTTCTAACATTTCGTCATTCTCGAACAGATTTCTTTGGTGACTGATTGGTAGGCAGTTGTTCAGTCGTCGCTGATGAGAGCATGAATATTAGTTGCTTCAAGTAGTCTTAATTAGTGTTTCCGAGTTATGGTATTTTACGATATGCAAATATATTTTGTGGCTGTATTTTATTCGCAAAATATGGACTACATGATAGGCATGGTTCGTAAGTTTACGTTTTTATGCGATAACAAAATATTTACATGTTGTTGAATTAAAAATGCTCTTGGTAGCATGTCATTCAGAATGGAAAATCTGCATATTCTGGAAGTAAAGAAGTTTTGTTACGCAGGCTGCATTCTGTAAGCAATAACTTAGGTTAAGCTGCAGAAATCTAAGTATATCCCCAATCCGAAATATTTCGAAGACCATAACATTGTAACTGGTTTCTCACTCCCGAGTTTTTCGAAATAATATGAACAACGGCCGTAACGCCGTCCCCGTTCCTCTTCCCCTAAACTTTCCATCAACAGACGTATCTTCTGTTACTCAATCACTCAAAATATCCTCCCTACGTCTTTAACGAAGGTTGGATTGTCAAGCGTTATCAGAAGTTATATGCGTCCCGTTTGTCAGCAGAACTTGAGGACTACACGTTTTGTCTACAGGAGGAACACGTCAAACACCTTATTTTCACGCTTGCGTTTTATCATGTAAACAATCCCTTAACTCCGAAATTCCATATCTTCCTCAACCTACTTCCCTTACAACTTATATAAGCTGAAGATGTCTTTTATGCTGACGTTGTTGTACTGCAATGAAGCCCAAGTCGATTTAGTTTATGAAATAGTCGAGTTTCTTTTTCTTGTGATTTGTCAGGCGCTGCAACGCCGCTTTATGGAACATCCTTAACTTCGTTTTCACAGCAGGCAGCTCTGTGTGATAGGACTCACTGTTTCGGACCATAAATATTTGTATTCAAAAGAAGCAGATTCATTATTTTGTGTCTTCTAGTAGAGAATTTAGGTGAGAAAACGTATTAAATGGTTTTAATAGTTTATATTTCGGAATTACTAACCCGCTATGAGTTTCTCCATCGACTTGCTGAATTTTTTCTCATTTCATTTTAAATTTCACCATGTTGTGTATTCCATAATGCTAAACAATCTTTGTCCGAAGCATTCCGTGATTGAAAGTATTTTCTTGATGGTAAGTTAAAACGTTGTTTTTAGTTATTAATTTTGAAAGTATATTTTAATTTAGAGTTAATTTTACAGTTGTATAAACTGCGCTTGTAACGTCTTTAGCTAAATTGATATGGATCGTCTGTTCATTTTGGTTATGTTGTATGTTTGATTATGATATCAAGATTTTAGTGGAAAGATCTCACATGATTAATGGTAAACGATGCGATGTGAAAAAGGCTCTCAGTAAAGAGGAAATGAAAAAAATTCAGCAGCAGGATTCTGATAGACAGCATCGGGACAACCGTTCGCGAGGCATGATGCGCGGTGGCGATCAAGGAATGGGAATGCCTTATGGCGGTGGAATGGGTTCTAACCGTTGTAAGATGAACAGTATATGCATTGAGTCGTTCATAGATTAAAACCATTAATTTAGCATGGGGTAGTCCTGGAATGAGCGGTGGTTATAATCAAGATTGGAACAGTTATCCTAGCGGAGGAGGCGGTTGGAGTCAGGGTGGCGGTAGTTCTTCATGGAACCAAGGCGGTGGAAGCCCATGGACACAAGGTAGAAGATACGCCGAATTTCATTTGTTTAACCTTCATAGTTTCTGTATAGACGTTGCGCCTTGGAATCAAGGCGGTGGTTCATATCAGTCGATGCAGCCGAGGTATGCTCTAAAATGTTATTTCTCTAATTAAGCTTTCTGTTGCAGGTCGGAATGGCGAAGATGGTAGTAAATCAGATTTTCATTTCTTGGGCATGGTAAGATTTCTTGCGTCTGTCGGTGAGACTGCTCTGGACAGAAGCAAACTATTGTTAAAAATCTTTGACACAGCTTTGAGTGTTCTTAGGTAGTTTATTTTAGGAGTATAGAAATTGTACAAAGGTAAACTGTCCCCTCATGTTGTCTCGATGTTAATGCACTAAGAGGAGTACACAGTGAACGTATCCGACGAAGTGTTTGAGTGGAAAGAATGCTGCTAAAGAAATATTTGTTACAGTACGGCATGTTGTCTTTTGCTCCCAGGTACTGTAATGTGGAGCCTTTGTCGTGTAAACTATTCTCAGTTTTTAAATGTTCTACATTTATATGAATTGAACTGATTTTGTTTGATTAAAAATGAATTTTAACGTGTTAGTTGTAGATAAACGGAATTATTCTGCATTCTGCAAGCATATAGATTCCTAGCCATAGGAATTGTGATATAGGCCCGGAAGTGCAGCATTAGGCCTGAAGACAGATATTGACATTAAGCCTGAAGAGAAGTCTCGATGAGTGACCTAGTTTGTACTAGGTAGTCAGGAGATTGGCAGGACAAACTACGTTTATTGCATCGTTTTGATTCCTTTTAGAAAATTCGCCAGCGCTACGAAGATGTTTCGTAATCGATGTTTCGTCAGGAAGAAATGAGCAGGTAAGGTGTTTTTTCGCTTGCTATTCAGTAAGGTTGTGATTTTAGTCAACTATCGATGCTGAAGTCTGCCCGACTGTTTCTCGTTGACCGCTAACTTTTGATTCTTCTTATCTTGCCAAAGCCGTTTTCAAGCGGTGGAGGAAGTTTTGATTGATCTCTGTAGGTTCATGAGGTGATATTGCCTGCGTTTTATATTTGTATTTGTTTTACAATAAAATGGCGTTTTGCAGCAGTTGTTGTCTGAAGTCTTTCGCGTTTCATTGTTATTGAATAAGATGAGAAAATTTCATAATCGATCGACAAAAGAATCAGTATTAATCGAGTGACTTTAGTTTTTGTAAGGTAACGCCGAAGTTTTATTTACAATGAAGCTAATATTAGTTGTTCGTTCGATGTTTGCATACGAGACTGAGGGCACTTCAACTGGCTAAGTTGAGTGATTCTTTTCGTTTCAGATACATTACCACTATCTGAAGTGGTATTCCTCTGACGTTTTTTCGTCATATTGGTGTTGTCTGCTCAGGACTGACTGCGTACTGGCGATGTTTCTTGGCCTTCGTGTTTGAGGGCAAGATTTCCCAATGTAGATTATTAAGCTAATTTTAAGTTTCGTTGTGTTTTTTATCTATGAACGGCACCTGCATGGTTCAGGTAGTATGATCGTATGTCTCACTTTGGCGTGAACACGTGGATGCATGATGCTGGCACAATTATTCTCAGGCAATTTGCTATCTGCTTTGCAGCAGAATGGGCGAAGGAAATCAGCAGTTAACAAAAGTATATGCTCCACGCTGGATTTGAATACGGCAGTTTACGATGCAAAACCTAGTGAGCCGCTATATCACTGCCCCTTCCCTTTAAATTGTTTTTACGACGTTCATATGCTATCACATCAACAAAAAATGGTTTTTTTGGAGTGTGTTATTTCTGTGGAAGCATTTTGTGCATATTAAGGTAGCTGAGATATTCAGTTTTAGGTAGTTTTTTCATATCTGTTTCGATGACTATAATTTGCCGTTTAAGATGTAGCACTATCAGAGTGTCTTCATTGTGCGATCCTGTATCCTTCTGAGATCTGACAAGATAATTTGAGTCGGAAGCACAGGCTGTCGAGGCACCTGCTCCAGGTAATATTTGGTTTTCCCAAGGTAACTCGGTCAGTCGATTGAGCAGGTACTTCATGGTATTGACCAGTTGATTGCTTGCAACATTTTTCAGAAGGAACTTGCAAAACATGACGTCATCATGCCTGCTTGCTTAATACTGATGAATACCTATGGCATTCGCTTACCCCATGAAGATTCTCTCACTCTGCCTGGAGGTGTCCTACTTAGTTTATGAATTATCAAGATCGATCGTAGCCGGTATCTTTTACCTAGTTGCGCTACTTAGAATCCGCAAAAGGCCGATGATTTG